CCAGATAGTGACGTAGGTATGTGGGGGCGTGTTAGAACGAGCCGTTTTAGGTAGGTGTGGCTGACTCTTAACTTTTATAAAGAATATCTCTTTGGATTTGAGACTTTAGTCTTTGCAACTTTACAGATCTTCTTTATGCACCAAGAGCTTGTAACACTCCAAAGAGAAAGGAAAAAATGAAATTGCATCATATGACCCCTTTAAGACAAGTGCTACTATAACTCCTGACTGTCACATTTTGGCCCTGTGTTTTCCACTTGCTGACTATCATATAGTTTTATCACTTTTTTTAATTGATTAGTTGTCAGTTACTTTTCTTTCTTAATTGTACTTGAAAGTTAAATGTTCCAATTTATTAGAAATATTTATTAGATCATACATTACTGTTCAAAACATTTGGGGTCAGTAAGTTTTGTGTGTGTGTGTGTATTAATACTTTTATTGAGCAAGGGTTAATTAAATTAACCAAAAGTGACAGCATTTATTTGAAATAAAAATATTCTATAAACATTATTTATACTGTTACTGTGCTCTTTACTGTTCTTTATACTTTGTTCATCAAAGAATCAACGAAAGAAAAAAAAGAAAGTTGTCTCGACTTCCACAAATATTAAGCAGCACAACTGTTTTTGGATTTGAACACTGAAACAGAAAAATTTCTTGAGCACCAAGTCCAGCATATTAGAATGATTTCTGAATGATCATGTTCCACTGAAGACTGAAGTAATAGATGCTGATAATTCAGCTTTGCCATCACAGGAATAAATTGCATTTTAAAATATATTCAAATATAGAAATTATTTTAAATTGTTATAATATTTTACAATATTACAGTTTTTACTGTAGTTTTGAGCAAATCAATGCAGTCTTGGTGAGCACAAGAGACTTCTTTCAAGAACATTAAGAAATGTTATCGACCCAAACTTTTGAATGTTAGTGTATATTTGTTGAAATGTGATTCATTTGAATCTTTCTTCATAGTTAATAATATAATAATTATTAAATACATTTTCTGTTATTTTACTTACATTGTGGTTAATTTCTAAATGTGCTTAAACAGTGACCTTGTTTAGAAGCCAGAGAGCATTGAGTTTATGATCTTGTCATATGACCAAACAGGCTGTGACTTGCTTCAGCTGTATCTCCTTCCATGTGCTTTTACTCCGACTAATGCCAGATATCAGTGACTGAACCCTGCAGTCATGCAAGTTTATCAGTCACCAAATTATTTGGTACTGACTGTGCTGGAAAACAGGTGTGTGATATGCTGGAACATAAAATTAACCTTAACAAGGTTCAGAGCAGTGCCATCAGCTTCTATATGATGCTTGTTATAGATCGGAGAGGTATGTTGGTGTGTCACAGGCCTTTGGAATAACACGCATGCCATTTAAAGTGCTGCAAATGTCGCACTTGACTGTGTCTGATTAGCATCTGTACTTAAGAGGGCACAGAGCCAAGATTTTGTGGATTTCCATGCATGTCTGTTAGCAGTGGGTGCTCTGAACAAGACCAGACCATGCAATGCACATAATGAGTGCTTAGGATAATTGTTGTGATCAGTCCAGTTTATCTGCATTACGAACTGATAGTTTGCATGATGGTTTTGTGTTGTTGTTTCTGCTTCTGGGAAACGTTGTCTTTAACTTTTAATTTACCCTGTAGTGTTAATTTACTGAGGAAATTGGAAAATCTGTCAACGCTTTGTTTTTTACGCTGGTATCATTAATCACTTGGTTTGCTTAAACTGCAATGGCTTTGTAGTTGAATTATCCCAGATGCAACAATAACACATTGGTAACATATGGTACAGGAAGATGTCCTCAGTGCACAATACCAGAACAGAGGGGCTTCTGTCATTTACTGTGAATTCACTGTTCTTTGAAGCTAAAAAACTACTTGTATCAGGCATAGCAGCACTAATCTACTTTATTTTGCCTCCACCTAGTTTCTAAGTTCTCTTTCCATCCCCCTCCAGTTGATGTTGCCTTGTCCATTGGCCCTGTGACTCTGAAGTGAGAGGAGATTTTTAGGCAGTGAGGAATGTTTTTAGCAGATACTCATCCCAGCTGTGAAAACTCCGTACCAAAACGGAGTCCATCAGTTGGCTCTCTCATTCACTTTCTCTTCTCAGATGGTTTTTATTGAGAGAGGAGGTAATTTCATCTAACCAGCACAGTTCTTATTGTAGATTAACATATTTAAATATTGAATTTCTGAATGTCAAAAAGGGTGTTTGGTCTGTGTGGGTGAATGTGTGGTCAGTCTATTGATCTGTGGGTAAAATAGAGAAACATGTTCTGCTCTTCCAATCCCTCTGTGAGTCTGTCAGATGTCCATGTGCTTATTCATAGAATTGATGCCACACCTGGATAACAACACCAGTATAAGTAATTTCATTACATTAATCATGTGAATGTTAACAAAAAACTTAAATTAGTTCTGAGTAAATTTATTTTTTCTTTTTTTTTCTTTTTTAAAGAGATTATTACATATTGGCATCACTGATTATCACCCAGTATTGATGAATGTATTTTTTTTTTTTTACACAAACAAAACTTTTGATTTTATTTATTTAGTATTATTATTATTTATAATAGTATTAATAATTAGAATTAACAGTACAAGTAATAATTAATAAGAATTTTCTAGATTTTTATTATCCATTTATTTGCCCTAACAATATAAAATGAAGTATTATTATTATATTATTATTATTATTATTAATAATAATAATAATAATATTTTTTGGGCAGAATTCATTATCACTGCATTGCTGTATTCTTTTCATATCCTTACTATTAATGATAATGGTTTATTTCCACTCAGGTGGTCTGTGAGTGTATGTTTTGTAATGTTATGGATGCAGATTAGAAACAGATGACTTTGAGCATTACATGGTGGGCACTTTGACTAACAAAACCGTTGAAAAAGCATACAGGCAGTTTACATACAAAAATAAGTCTGTTCAACTATGGTCACAGCACCATGTTGACATCCATGAAATTGATGCTATTGTTTTCGTTCCTTGCCTTCATATGGGGCCTTTGAAACATCTTTTGCTGATCATTCCTGTCACCAGCAGGAGTACTTGTAGTCTGAAGGCTATGCTCTCTTTTGTGTACACAGGCTTCACAGGAGAAACAACTCCTAAAGTTGGCAATTCCAAACTACAACGGAGAGCTGTTAGGTAAGATCCTTATTTTTATGTAATATTTTTGTAGAATTTTTATGTAACTTGGGTTTTGAGTGCTTTTATAAGCTCGATGTAAAAGATCCACACCAACAGAAATTCAGTCTTTTTAAATGTCTTGTATAAGGCTTGAACAAATTTAATAGGACTACATTGTGTACCTCCAGATGCATTCATGTTTTGTGATGTGGGATGTTTGTTTTTAATAAAAAGAGTTATATTTATTCTCCCAACTAATTATTTTAGTCCTGTATGGTGTTGTTACATTATTTGCTGTTAGGTAAATATTTCTTAACCTTGTTACTCTTACTTAAAAAAATAAAAAAAATAAAAAAATAATTTTCCAGTTGTGGAAAATAACATTATGATGTGAAGATATTGCATTTCACATTTTTTTTGGATGGAACTGTGGGATTTCTGCCAAGATTCTGATCCCTTTTCAGGTGCTGCTTCAACAAAAGCAGGCAGTTCGGAGGCCTCTTGTTTCTGTTATAAACATATGCAAAATATATTGAAATTTAAAGCTGGTTTCTCTTTCTGTCCAGCTTCCAGAAAGAGTTCTTGTTTGAAGAGAAAGACGAGGGAACCAACAAAGAATTAGATGTCAGTCTGCTGGGAAATACACCCAAGGGTAAGTACAATATACATCAACACTTCAGCTGTGTGGTTCTTTATCTCGGCTATTATATACTAGTAAGTATTTGACTCACTAAACCAGGAACCATGAGTTCTGTCACAAACTTAGCAAAATTCAGTTGACTTCTGCACTTTTCTAATTGAGGTGTGTTAGCTTAATGGTTAAGTATCTTAATACAGCAGTAGCAGGTTCAATCCCAAGGAGAATTTGAACACGAAATGATCACTGGTTCTTAAGCGCACTCAATTTTAGGGTGTCTGTCCCTGATATTGTCACATGCGACATTCTGTATTCACATTAGATGACAGTCTGCTAAAATGGCAAGTAACAAAGTATATAATGCTAGCCATAGTGCATTGATCAAAGTTTTCACAGGTTGCTTCAAGACTGTATATTCTTTCAATTAGCATTGTCTGGTTCCTGGACACATGGAGGTTATTTGGTTGGGGGGATGGGATGCTGATGACCTATATTTGGTTTGCTGGGGGCCACCTGTTGTTGGACAAGTTGTCTTGCTTACTGGCCCTGAAAATGTGACAGATGTGTGAAAGAGTGCCAAGATACTTTGTAAAAGTGTTTGCACTGTAACCCAGTCCAGAAAATGGGTGAACATGATTTTGTGGAGCTAAGTCATATTCTGCCTTTTTTTAAATAAATGCTGTTTTTTTTAATTGAATTGAAGCATATTTTTATTGCTTAAAAAAATCAAAAATGATTTCTCAATGCATGTTCCTGATCTTATTGTGAACGATTTATCGTGCTTTTAATTCAAAAGATAAACTTGTCTTTTACCTCGTCTGTGTAATCTTTAATCAAAATGTAATAACATTGTTCCTCTTAAACGATCGTCCTTGTCCGCTGACGTCACACAGGCTATTTGATATTTACTCAATAGCCAAATAACTGTTTAGACATTTGTTTTAAGACACTCACATTTGGTTTGGCCCCATTCTAGCGCATAACTCCCACTTTTCACCAATAATTAATTCCTGATGGATGAAGTCCACAATTGTTTCCCCTTGTTTGTGTGTGTGTGTGTTTTATAAATTTGCTGATAACAGTAGGTGTTCTCCTTTCTGAAAAACGTATGACAGGGGTTAGTCATGGCTAAAAACTTAGACATGACATAACCTGAACACTAGGGCTGTGTATCACCAGCAAAGTCACGATACGATACGTATCACGATACAGAGGCCACGATATGGCATATTCTTGGAAATGAGCTGGCAGCAGAAATCACACAACAAATGAAATGTTATCATTTCATAAGTAAATGAGTAAACAATTTAACAATTAGCATTGTCTGGTTCCTGGACACATGGAGGTTATTTGGTTGGGGGGATGGGACGCTGATGACCTATATTTGGTTTGCTGGGGGCCACCTGTTGTTGGACAAGTTGTCTTGCTTACTGGCCCTGAAAATGTGACAGATGTGTGAAAGAGTGCCAAGATACTTTGTAAAAGTGTTTGCACTGTAACCCAGTCCAGAAAATGGGTGAACATGATTTTGTGGAGCTAAGTCATATTCTGCCTTTTTTTAAATAAATGCTGTTTTTTTTATTGAATTGAAGCATATTTTTATTGCTTAAAAAAAATCAAAAATGATTTCTCAATGCATGTTCCTGATCTTATTGTGAACGATTTATCGTGCTTTTAATTCAAAAGATAAACTTGTCTTTTACCTCGTCTGTGTAATCTTTAATCAAAATGTAATAACATTGTTCCTCTTAAACGATCGTCCTTGTCCGCTGACGTCACACAGGCTATTTGATATTTACTCAATAGCCAAATAACTGTTTAGACATTTGTTTTAAGACACTCACATTTGGTTTGGCCCCATTCTAGCGCATAACTCCCACTTTTCACCAATAATTAATTCCTGATGGATGAAGTCCACAATTGTTTCCCCTTGTTTGTGTGTGTGTGTGTGTGTGTGTGTTTTATAAATTTGCTGATAACAGTAGGTGTTCTCCTTTCGAATCACAAAATTGTCAGCATGATGTTATTGCCAAAAAAGACTTTAATTTCTCTTTCACCGCACACGTGTTATGCTCTTCACCAGAGTTAAAGTAGCATAAATATCCAAAAACACCAAAATAAGTGAATAATGTATAATAAACATCTGTCATTTAAATGTTTGGGGTCATTACTATTTTTGCTCCTATTTTTTTTTTTTTTTCAAATACTCACAGCCTTTTTGAGTACTATAAGCTTCCTTCAAAAACATTAAAATATCTTACAGACCCCAAACTTCTGAACGGTACTGTATAAACATAACAAAAAATATCAAATATATGGTAAAGTAACTAATAAACAAAGGTATGTTTCATTAACAAATGTTTTTTTTTCCCCAGATTAAGAATTATGCCATTTAATAATTCCCTGTACCACTCCTGTTTATAGGAAAGAGCGAATTGCAAGGCGTCTGGAGGGAATCGATAGTGATGCTCTCCAAAATCTCCCAGGCTGTGGCGGTCTAGTTACCAATCGACTGCTAGAGGAGGACACTCCGAGATATACCCGTGCAGCAGACACACGTGCTTAATATTTTTATACTTGGAATCATACTTTGAATTATACTTTCACTCACTTATAACATGAATGAGAAGTAATGTGCAATGAGAAATAATTAGCATGAAACATCTGTATATTATGTAGTGCATATCAGCTAGGGGTGGGAATCACCAGAGGCCTCACGATACGATATTATCACATGATAGATGTTTGTTTTTTTGTCTCTCTATCCTACAGTCACCAAGTAGTATTAGTATCTTAATTTCCTTCACTTACGCTTTCCTTTCTTGGAAAGAATGTTGGCTGGTATTCCCCTCAATCTGTCTTTCACAGGAATTTTCCCTAAAAGAAAGCCGTCAATTTGCAGGATTTGGCTAGCATACTGTTAGGAGTGTTTCAACAGCTCCCTAAAGATAGGTGGGCTCTGTTCAGTATGACACATTATCCATTAGCATTGACCTTTAGATTTTAAGTTCCTCCACAGACTATACTAGTGTAATGTTTTATTTTATGATGTGGACTTATTTCTCCTTTGCAATTCCTTGTCACTTAATATCTGCTGAATTTGACAAACCCAATGTAGATAGAAGAGATGTGTAGAGAGAGAAATGGAGAAGGATGGGCTCTCCATCTCCTCCTCGGAAGTATTTGCAGAGTATTTGCACAATCATAACCTTCTAAAAAATGTACAAAAATACAGTTTTCTTTTGTTATAGTGATCAAGTCTGAGATGTAGATGATTTTTGAGTTTATGTTCAACTGCCATAAATATGTGATCTTGGTCTTATTGTAAATGTAGACTTTAAATCAATAAACCTTTGTTTATATTTGCATTTACTGCACAGTTAAAAAATTTTCAACCACTTTTTTTTCTTTTCATGAACCACATCTCAAACATAGTTTTGGCTGCATTTTGTTACAGATGTTTTTCTATAGCCTTACAAATACAGTCCACTTAGAGGTGGTTAAAAACAGTTCACATGACTCAGTTAAGAGTGCAGAGCATGGTTTCAGTTAAACAGGGGTCCAGAGGAGCTCAACGGAGTGCATGTTACCATATGTGAAACTCAAGTGTGAGTGTATAGACGGCAGCCGTAAAGCTCGGGTCAGGAGAAACAGCTTTTATCAGCTAGACTAAAGCAGTGTGGGATAGAATTCATAAAAGGGTAATGTGTAGAGGATCATCGGTGAACAGGTGGAAAAGAAGAGATAGACAGAGTGTAGCACTGTAAGAAACAGACATCTTTTAAAAGCATTATAGGAAGTTTTCTTTGTGATTTAAGTCCCTTCACTGGTAATGCACTGACTGCAAAAGGTTTTGGATGAGAGAGTCTTTTGCCTCCCCCTCCTGAGAGCTTTGATTCTGCTGACCTAAACCTAAAGATTCAGTCATCACAAACTAAGCTAGCTTTATCAGCAAACCTCTCTCACCCAGCATGTAATGAAATGCTGTGTAGTGTGAAATTAGCTGGATGTTTAGATGCCCATAGCTACAAATTTATATGATAATATATAAGGAAGAAACCGCATTTATGTATTAAAATGGTTTGAGGCTTTTTCTACAGTTCAAAAATAAGCTTATTTGGAATTCTCAAAGCTGAATCTCTTGGATTTTCAGTCATTTGTCATCTGAAGCAGACTTCAGATTTATACATTTTACACTGCAGATATTTTCCAGATAATTGTTTAATGATTTAATTTGGAATAATATGAATATAAATAATATAACATTAAATAAAAGCTAATTATTTAATTTCGACAACATGTATTTAACAACATGTCTTAATTTTTACATTTAGTATTTTTCATCACAGTATAAATGGCTCATACGTGAAAATATAGCTGCCTATACTTTTTTGGAACGGAGTGTCTTGCACCCCTGCTTTGAGATTGTTTGCTTATGTTTCAATTGTTTCAAATATCACAGTTGTTGTGATTTGCTGCTTGATTTTGTTACTGTAAGCGCAACAATTTTTCACATGGTTCTCATTATTCCAACTACTGAAAACATCAACTTTGATACACACTGTTAGTTTCTCAGTGTTTTTATTTTATTCCAAACACTGTCAAAGTTGCTTTTTAACCTCATTCTAATAAGCACAAACCATACTGAGATGCTTCGACTGGTTCTGTGGCTTGGGTTGTTTTGGTTGGATCAGAATTTCTTGCTTACACTCACTTCCAGGACCATGAAACAGTTCTGTTTGTTTTTTTAATTCTTTTGCAGAGTCGGTTAATATCTAATTTAATTCTCAGTAACCAACCTTTTTTTCTTCTTCTGAAGAATCCGAGTTAGGGAGAGACTGGCCCGTGACGAGCCATTTCACAGGGGTCAAACAGCAGAGGGACCTGCATACAACCAGTTTCCCCAATCATACCCTCGATATCACCCTCACAATCGGAACCTCCCTGATGCTCCAGCCAAACAGCGGCTGACTTACCCTGGACAAGAGGAACGCCATGACCTGGGGTGCCAGAGCTACTTCTCTATGGGCAGCGAATCCGGTTCCAGGCATAAACAAGAGATTCAAGAAGTGCTTGAACTGGAGGGAAAACAGGATGTGAGGATGCAGGGGCTCCTGCCAAGCAGGAAGGCAGTTTTACCTTCTGAAATTCAGCAGAAAGAACAGAGCACTGTAGACCCATGCAGAGGAAAAACTGACAATGTAGAGGTAAACCCAGGCATCAGTCGGCACAGGAGGGAGGATGTTGCAAATGACCCCAGAGGGCGGCGTGGAAGTCAGTCAAGGCAGGAAGTTTACACAGAGCATGTGTCCCGACTTCAGGCCACAGAGTCTATGCAAGCAAGAGCTCGAGAGGCCCATAAAAGGGCTGACACTAGCTGCTATGCTCCAGTCCAGACCTCCAGTGGGAGATATATGCCAAATTCATCTAAACCTCTGGATACTGGAAATGTCCAACAGAACGCCATCCAGAACCCAATCAGAGAGGCTGCCCTTCAGGAGAAAGTACCCAATGGCGATCACCCATCCCATGATGCCAGGGTTTCAGTTGCCCAACTCCGCCACACCTACCTGGAAAGTGTTGCGAGTCCCCGGAAAGCCAAACTGTAGGTGGTGGTACATTACCAATATGTGTCGACTTACTAACATATCTAACATTGACGATTAACATGCAGTTAATCAAAATCTCATCTAATGTAACTGCTTGGAGAATCAATTGTAAGAAAAGACCCTGTGATCTTACAGAGGAATCGCTCATTCAAAGCTGATTAGCAGATTTTAATGCTCCATTCCTTAAGCCATCATGCTGCTCAGCTTGTTTAGTGCACACTTTGTCAGTAATAATTAACCATTTCTGCTTGTCTTTTGTCTTACCTTGGCTTGGCAGCTTTGTGTTTCTAGATACAATTATGGATGTATTTATGATAGCTGTGCTGACAGAATAATTCTTAACCTTTTTTTATGTTTGTAGGGTTTTCATTAGTTGGTTTAACCCACTGTGAGGATGCTCAGATGAAATATTCATCCAGCATTAGCATTTTGCTCTTTCTCTCATGCCTGTGCACCTGCCATTCTTCAATGCTGCCTTGTTCAGTCATGCTTTGTGACGTAATAGGGCAGAAGATGTGCCTCCAGATACACATGCACCCTGGAGAAGTGAGAGAGTCAAAGATCGCTCATCTCGTCGCCCTTTGCGGTATATCTGTCCCACTGAGAGTAGAATTACATCTGAGAGGTTTAGAACGCAGCCTATCACATCAACTGAGCGCGAACAGTCGGACCGGTAGGACTTTTGAGTAGTTTTATGCACGGCATTGTAGAGTTATCCTGGAGTGTAAATTTAAAATAACACTTGATGTACACTCGGTGATAACCCAGAAAACTAAAACCAGACTGGTTCGAAATTTATTTTTTTTATTTGCCTTTTTTTAACTGCACTGTATTTATGCACTGATTGCTTATTAAAGTTAGCCTTTGGCTCTCTAAATAATGCTATATTTTACTCCTTTAACACACCGTAAAATGTTTTCATGTGTAGTAGATTCTAATCCGGAGGTTTGGTCAGTGGTTTTTATGAAAGGCTCTTTGTTGTCATTTTTTCCCCCCCTCTTCTATTTCTGTGACGAAATCTATAATTCTGTCTAACGCTGTGGATTAAGCAGTTCTGATTGTGTTTTCAGCACTTTCCCACTAGTCGCTTTGTGCATTTTCCTAAATATCCTGCTGTGCTTGTCTGCTTACACTATTGCAATTTTTTTCCAAGTCAGCTGGTTGACCTAATCATTTTCCAATCCTAAACGATTTAATGCTTAATTGTAACTGTTTTAAAAGACTTCAACTTTTGTTCTCTTTAGGTCTCGTCTAAGCCCTGAACCACCGAGCCCTGAGGGTAAGTCTGAGATTCTTTTTGCATACACTACACAATCTGTATAATCACTTAAGGTTTAATATAACATGCCTTTCTATTGTTTTATTTAAAAATAGAAAGTCACTCTAACAGCTTTTAGTTGCTGTCTTGCTTGCAACTTTGTGATGGGGCAAAGCTTATTTTCATTTGGAAAAGCTTATGGAGACATGCCACTGTGACTTTGGAGATAACTCTAGGCAGAAGTAGTTGACTCTGCAGTTTGGCTGAGTATCCATGATTACTCCAGAGAGCAACAGACCTACTTTTTGGCATCTCTGGAGCTCTAGTAAAGCTAGTACTGCTTTGCTTTTCTAGTCCTAGAGTATGTGTAAGCAATGTCAATTTGCATTGCAATGTTTTAGTGTTGACTGAAACAAACATACACTACTGTTCAAACGTTTGGAGTCGGTAAGATTTTTATATATTGCATAAGAGTTTTATATATTTAACAAGGCTGCATTTATTTGATCAAAAATACAGTAAAACATTATTATTGTTAAATATTATTACAATAAATTTTTTAGAATTATTATTTTAATTTTTGGATTGTAAAATGTAATTTATTCCTGTGATGGCAAAGCTGAATTTTCAGCAGTCATTATTCCAGTCTTCAGTGTCACATGATCATTCAGAAATCACTCTAATATGCTGATTTGGTGCTCAAGAAAAATAATTTCTTATCAAAGATGAAAACAATTTTGCCGCTTAATGTTATTGTAGAAAACCATAATACGTTTTTAGGACTTTTTCAAAGAGCAGCATTTATTTGGAAAGAAAAAGTATTTTGTAACATTTTTAAATGTACTATTATTTTTAATTAGTTAAAAATGAAAGTGTCCTTGCTGAATAAAACTGTGCTGAATTAATGCTGACCCTAAAATTTTCAACAGTTGTGTATTACCTTAAAGTTCTGCCTTGAGGAAGAATTTTTAAAAAAATTATTAAAAACATTATTAAAAAAATACAATATATTTAATACTTTTATATAAACGGTTAATTGTACTACTGGTGTGAACGCATAGTGTAAGACAAACTCACAGACCATTTACACAAATTGGGGAAAATTACTCAAAATCGTAAGTGGACCCCTGACTAAAAATTAAAAGCAGTCATTATTCCAGTCTTCAGTGTCACATGATCATTCAGAAATCACTCTAATATGCTGATTTGGTGCTCAAGAAAAATAATTTCTTATCAAAGATGAAAACAATTTTGCCGCTTAATGTTATTGTAGAAAACCATAATACGTTTTTAGGACTTTTTCAAAGAGCAGCATTTATTTGGAAAGAAAAAGTATTTTGTAACATTTTTAAATGTACTATTATTTTTAATTAGTTAAAAATGAAAGTGTCCTTGCTGAATAAAACTGTGCTGAATTAATGCTGACCCTAAAATTTTCAACAGTTGTGTATTACCTTAAAGTTCTGCCTTGAGGAAGAATTTTTAAAAAAATTATTAAAAACATTATTAAAAAAATACAATATATTTAATACTTTTATATAAACGGTTAATTGTACTACTGGTGTGAACGCATAGTGTAAGACAAACTCACAGACCATTTACACAAATTGGGGAAAATTACTCAAAATCGTAAGTGGACCCCTGACTAAAAATTAAACAATAATATTATAAGACCTCTTTAAAGAGATAGTTCACCCAAAAATTTTAATTCTATCATTTGCTCACCCTTTTGTCATGTTAAACCCATAAAACTTTGGTTAATCTTCTAAACACACATTAAGATATTTTTAATGAAACTTAATGACACATTAATCTTTTAAGTTCTGGTTACCTGATCTTTCAATGGAGGGATAGAAATCTCTCAAGTTTCATTTAAAATAACTTAATTTGTATTTTGAAAATTAACAAAAATCCTCTGGGTTTGAAGCAACGTGGGTGAGTAAATGGTCACAGGTTTTCCTTTACGGGTGAACTGTCCCTTTAAAGGTTGCTTAGATCATACTACACTTTATATTAGAGCAGATTTTAATATAATATGTTGCATTTCGTAGATGTACAGAATTTATTTTCCACTGCTGTGTCTTTAAGGTTAACCTGTGTGAAATCAGAGTAGAGAAGCAGAAATTTGCTTGTGTAATCTTTCTACCATGTGTTTAGCATTGTGTTTGTTCTCTGAAAGCCTTGGGATTTGAAATAGTTCTCATGAAAAAGCTTGTGACTAATTTTTTTCCCTTCTCTTCTTTCTGTGTTTTTCCAGTAGATGAAGAGAAGCTGGATGAGAGAGCAAAGCTGAGTGTAGCTGCCAAGCGCTCTCTCTTCAGGGTATGTGGTGCTTGAGTGTGTCTTTACTTCTGTTCCAAACCCTGAAAGTGAGCTGCTTCTCTTTCTGCTGTCTATAAAGAGAGCATCCTAACCAAATTCTTTTTAAGTGGCTTATTTGAAACACTCTTTGTTGGCTACAACCCAATGGTCATTTATGCAGACCACACAAATTACCCCTTACATGAAGCGCGCATAAGAAAGTGTGACCAACAACACGATTTAGTGAGTCTAATAGAAACCTGAGCAAAAGGAAACATCTGTTATCTTGAACAAGCTAGTAAAGTCAAATGCAGTATGTTAATGTTTAGATTTTTTGAAGTTATTGTGTAAAGCTTTCATACAAAGTTTTTCTGTTTCTTAGGAGCTCGAGAAGACTTCAGATGGTTCCGTTTTGAAGGCATGGAGCCGTAACCCTGCTGTTGAACGGAGGCTGAGGAGAGGTCAGGATCGCTCCCGCACTCAGCCGGTCACCTCAGAGGAAGTGGTCATTGCTGCTACGTAAGTTCTATAGTATGTGACGTTGAGTAATTCAGGTTGAGGGCACAAAAAACCCCCAAATGTTTACATTTGTTAGTTTCAACATTTACATCAACATGAATATTTAAAAGATTCGGCAAGATAAACTACTGTTCACTGGTGGGTCTGTAACATTTTTTATATTTTTGAAAGAAGTCTCTTATATTCACTTTATTTGATCAAAAATACAGTAAAAACAACAATGTTGTGAAATCTTATTACAATTTGAATTAACTGGTTTCTATTTTAATATATTGTAAAATGTTATTTATTCCAGTCATTACTCCAGTCACAGAGCCACGTGATCCTTTAGAAATCCTTAAAATATGCTGATTTCGTGCTCAAGAAACATTATTATGTTGAAAACAGTTAGGCCTTAAAGAACAGCATTTTTTTAAAAGTAGAAATCGGTTGTAACGATATTAAAGTCTTTACGGTCACATTTGGTCAATTTAATGTGTCCTTGCTGAATAAAAGTAATAAAAAGTAATAAAAGTTCTTTCAAAAGAAAAAAAAAGATCCCAAACTGTAGTGTAAGCATCATACAACATGTATCAGTCAACAAATGAATATGGCTTCAGAACAAGTTGTACATTCTACTCAATGCTATTTTTCCTATTTTTAAAGTTTTTTGGGTGTTAGTATCAATATGTTAGTCTTAAGGTTATCTATAAGGCAGTGTGCTCCAAAACAGTGACAAGATTCGCATTTAGAAGATATAAGCATTCAAAGCTTGCAGTTCGTCACTTCCAAAACGGCTCAACGTTTTTTTTGACGTCACATTGTACTTCAGCTTCTCATCAAACTTTCTGTCCAATCAAATGCTCTCTAGAAGCGACGTCAACACATAGAGTAACGCTGCATGTTTCTAAGCATTTCAGGGGACCTTTAAGTCCTATCCCTTACTTTTCTTTCATGTGGTGTATGTAGCTATGGTCTGTTTTCTTCAGTCTCTGTTTCTTTGTGTGGTTTAAAGTGTCCCTGGCCATTTGTCACAGTCCGTGACTGTACAAACCTCTGTAACACGTGTTCCTAGTCCCACTCTAGTCAGCAGCTCTGTGACCAAATACAGGTACCCAGGACACGCATACAAACACTCCCATGAGCGTGTGCGCGTAATACAGGCATGGTCACCTTTATCAATACTAATGTTTGTCACTGAGAGCTTGCACGTTCACAGATGTCTTTACAAAAATGTCTCCGTTTCTTTAGATTTGTGTATCATGAGAAAAGCGCTCAACAGTTGTATTGTGAAATAACATTACTATTTAAAATAATTGTTTCCTATTTTAATATATATTTTAAAATCCAGTCTTCAGTGTCACATGATCCTTCAGAAATAAATTTAATATGCACATTTGGTTTTCAAGAAACCTTTATCATCAGTTGAAAACAGTTGTGCAGCTTAATTTTTTTTTAATATTCATTTATTTAGTGTAGAAAGTTTTCACTCAGAAATGCCAAACAATTGCAAAGAAACAGGAAGTAACAAATTGAATTAAAAATGAAATTTTTGAAGTAGAAAAAAAAACATTTTCCTGTAAAGCATACTCCAATAATCTTTGTTTTATTTACAACTTTGAAAAGTCAAATTAAGAACCAGCACCCTCTTGTGGTATTTTCAGGCCAATACAGATCATTAGTTTACATTACTTACTCACACCCACAATTTCATGACTACAAATAAAATTATCCTGATCGTCACTGACTTGTGTTGAGCTATAATACAAGTTAAGCATATGGATATGACAATTATATTAGCTACTGATTTTGTATACATAAAGGGGATGTTATTAATGTTTTCTAAGGTCATGAAATGGTAGCGCTTAATAAAAAATGGGTCTGAATTACTTGTGGAAGTGTGACACATTGCTGGGATGGATTTGAGTCATGTCACTTTTGTTTTTTTTCTTCATCAGCAACTTGTTGTGCATATAAATTACATGACATGTTTATCTGCACATGCTAATATAATCTTAATGAAGATATGTATTAATTATCCTTGAAAATGTTTAACACAGACATTTATTCATTTGTGTGGATAAATGGCCTGCTGAATGAACAACACATTCTAAATGTTGCCAAAATGTTTCTTTATGTAGTTATGTTTACACCGCTTTATTCATGCTGTAACATGAATCACGATTGCTTGTATATTCTATGCATGCACGTGTGTTTAATCCAAATTTATGCAAGTAGTTATTTACACAAAATGTTGTAATTCTTTATTGTTATCATAATTATATATTATAAATACAGTCATGCAGCCCAGCCTTACAGGTGATATAATGGAATTAATATGAAACACATTAAGTGTTCCTGAACAGTCTGGTGTTGATGTGTCCTACAGCTTGCAGGCATCATCTCCGCATAACTCCATGGTGAGGGAGCAGGCCAGAGAGGTTCGGCTGGCTCAGGAGGCAGTGGAAACGGATCAAGCTCGCCAAGCATCTCCAGGGGAGGATGGTCAAGAGGAGCCAGATCTTTCTATGCTCAGTCTGGCAGAGAAGATGGCACTCTTCAACCGCCTGGCACAGCCGTCCAGCCATGGCCCTCGGGCCAGGGGAGACACTCGGTCACGTAGGAGTAATACCCGCTACCAGACTCAGCCAATCACACTAGGAGAGGTTGAACAGGTATGTATCATTTCTCTCTCTTCATTAAACAATTAGACCACGCTTATACATGCCACAGTTGAGAATCAGTTTAGTACATTACTCATCATGTAATTTAAACCATGAATCATGCCTGGTCATTAAATTAAGATCCATATGGGTGTGATCTTTGGGTGTGCATATGCTTTTGGCCATATAGTGTATGTCAGTTAAATACTGGAGGAGAAGAGAAAAGACTAAAACAATGAAGCTATAAAGCAAGTCAGACAGAAATCTGGGCTTAAGAAGTCACAGGCTTATCCTGAAATTGCATACTGTCTGAGAAGATTTTTTAAATACTTACTTAGCAGCCATTAAAAAGTATGTAGTATATAGTATTAATGTGTGTAGTGTGAATGAAAACAGATGCACTAAATTTATAATGCACTATATTCGTAATTAGAAAGCAAACTTTCGAAAAGCTAATGTGATGGGGTTTTTTTTTAATTGAACAGTCAACACCCAGGGGTTGTTCAGTTAATCTATAATAACCTCACATTTATATTGTGTCGTTGGACTTTCAAATTTTTAATAGGTCTACTATTATTTTGGAAATTGTCAAAAGGATTATGGATCTTATCAACCAAAATGTTTAAGAATATTGTGATTATATTTTTGCTCATATCAGCCATTCTTACTGTGCACCCTGCTTTAAGTTTGTTGGGCATATGTTGAAGTATTACACCCACAGATGTGATCAATCTTACTCTTACACACACAGATACACACGATTGAGCGTTTAAAGGGGTTTGTCTCTGATGCAGGATGATTCTGAGATGTTTTACGAGGAATCGGAGTTCTCAGAGCTTCTGAGTGATCTGGAACATGTGAGGATCCTCTATAGAACCATATAATATTTCATAGGAACCAAGGTTTTACGATGCCTGCAGTAAACCCATTGTCCCGTGTCTTAGAAGCAGTTGTCATAATGCTCCAGCATATATGTCCCTATATGCCAGTAGGCTGAATTCAGGCATTTCTTTTAAGCATCTTGCTTAGATGATCGTACAACCCCAAAGAAGGCATGGAGGTAAATGCTTCTTTATGTGAATGTAGTTCCAGATTGCTGGTAGGTCAAGTACAAGCTTTGCAGTCTTTATGTGCTTTTGAAATTGAGCTGAAAAATGTTAACAGATACGATGTTTTGTCTGTTTATTGTGTTTTATGTATAAACATCATTAGTGTTGGGTTACGGTGCAAAGAAATTTGCTATAGTGTGTTTTGCTTTCTGTGATTATAGAATGACGAAGCATGGAAAAATTGTGAAAATACAGACTGGAATGTGTCTCGAATCAAGAAAGAACTATTTCTAATCACTATGGGCTATAGTAAACTATTAATATAGCCCGTTTTTGGAACCTGCCGTGTTTTCTCCCTTAGTTCAGTTTGTTTAGGCATACATGAACACCGTAAACGTGCTGTTACTAAAATAATCATTCTGACGTCACCTAAACGAGTCTCGATCTGATTGAAATCTTTGGGGTGGTTGCTTGTGGTGAGAAAGCAATACAACCCAACAAACCAAACTGTATAGTTATGCAAAATGTTACTTAAAAAGATGAAGAGGCGCTTTGTTGTTTTCAGCTGCAATAAGACACTACTGCTTTTAAGTAACATTTCCACATACTGCCCACCCCTATTCGTTATTGTTCTTTTCTATACTTACTATTATATGAATATTTAAATTGTCACAACCCATGCAATGTGACCAAGCAGTTGTCTAGGGAGAGTCGGCTGTGGTTCAGTGGTTGTCATTGAAGATGTTCTGTGTTTTTCCCTATGAAGACTCCCTAATGAATGAGTGGGAGGTTTTGAGTGTTTTTAGGAGAAATGTGTCCGTGCTGAATGCTTACTTTATTTGGAAATCAATGATCTTATTCTGAATGTACACTGCAACTCTGCCTAAAGCCATGCTGACACAGTAGTGTTACATTTATTTGATTGTGTCTGTGACTCAATGTGTCTGTTTTTGAGGGCATGATAGGAACAGTCGGGTTCAGTATATATAAAGGGCATGGCTTTGTGAATGGTTTTGTTATTGGCTGATTTGATGCTTGCCTTTCAGCTACAGGAAATGCACTAAGCCAGCCTTTGATTAGTCAGCATGATTGGCGTGTGTCTGCTGATGAATGTGCTGTTTCCTGCCCATGCTGACTCACTTTTTGTTCTCATCCCATCCCTTTCTTTCCCTTCAACCAATGTACCGTCATGCTCTTATCTTTCTCTTTCTCATACTGTTCATTCTCAAATCTTCCATCTTCCCCTTTCTACTCAAACTCTTCCATCCTTCTCTTTTATTGTTCTCTCGTAGCTGCAGCCTGTGGGTGAAGCTCGTTTGGCATCCACCTCTACCTCGGCCCTGAGATCCTCAACCGTTTCCACTGAACATGCTGGTGACATCCACCTGACCATGCCCAATGTATCTGGCCCTGCCTACTATGAGCAGACCCTCTCCCCACCTCACCACCCTCAACCTGCCCAAGAGATCCAGACACATCAGAGTCCAGATGTGTCCCCGGTGGCCCAAGGAGAAAAGCTGGTATTGAGCATGGGGAAGAGGAAGCTCCCCTCTCCAGAGAGCATGAAACAGACACCACATGCTCAACCAGCCAGAGACTGGGAGGAGCATAAAGTGCACAGTGAGGCTCTGGTGACCCCTCAAGACCTTTCAGAAACAGATGGAGAGCTCAAGTCAAAGGCAGCCATGTCAGGTAGAGAAATATGGATGATGTGTTTCTTTGTTTTCTAAGTGCCACCTCTTCTCCTAGACACATTTCTGTACTTCAAGGTAATGTTATTTAACTCTCTTTTAACTTTTGCCCTTTTCCTATTTGTTCCTATTTTTCCTTTAGTTAATATGGCAAGATGCTTTCTGTAAGAACAATGCACATTTACTGATATATAGTTAGACACATACAGTGATACATGTACAGGTTGGTAAAACATCATCCAATACATTTTACTATTAGGGGAAATAGATGGATGCAGTTGTAATAAAATTTTGCCTCACTGAGCAGCAAATCAGAATATTCGAATGATTTCTGAAGGATCATGTGACACTGAAGACTGGAGTAATGATGCTAAAAAAATCAGCTTTGAAATCACATTAATAAATTACATTTAAAAATATATTCAAATAGAAAGCAGTTATTTTAAATAGTAAAAAATATTCCACACTATTACTGCTTTTGCTGTATTTTGGATCAAATAAATGCAGACTTGGTGAGCAGAAGAGAATTATTTAAAAAAACATGAAAAAATCTTACGGTTCAAAAACTTTTGACTGGTAGTGTGTGTGTGTGTGTGTGTGTATATGTGTATATATATATATATATATATATATATATGTGTACTCAAAAGAGAGGTGAGCGTATGACATTTCCAAAATGACATCTCTGAATAATTTGTGTATTTTGTGATTTGATGATATGAAAGGAAATCAGCAGATTGTCATGTTTGGATTGTCCTTTGCATAGTAAAATGTGTCTAAAACTATAGATGAATATTGAAAACAGATATTTTTCTATCTCTGTATAAAGCAGGACATTGTAAAAATAGTCAAGTCACCTTTATTTATATAGTGTGTTATACAATACAGATTGTCAAAGCAGCTTTACAGTGTCTACCAGGAAAATAGTTTGTCAATAATGCAAGAGGACAAACTGACAAAATAAAGTCAGTTCATTGTTGATTCTGTGATGTCATCCAGTTCAGCTCTCTTACAATAGTGTTTGTGCAATCTAGAAATTAAGCATCCCCAACTAAGCAAGCCAGAGGTGACCGTGGCATGGAACCAAAACTCTATCTGTGACAGAAACCTTGGGAGAAAGCAGGCTCAGTTGGGGGGCCAGTTCTCCTCTGGCCAGACGAAACCAGCATGATGTGTTTTATTTCCAGGCTGCAACACAAGTCATATTGTGCAGAGGGCTCGTCTGGTTCCCGTGGTCTTGTCCCAGTGGCCGTCTAGTTGACGAGGTCTTTGCAGGGGATCTGTTTCTAGGGCTCATCTAGTTGGCATGGTCTCCGCTGACATTTAGGGCTGTAGAGGTCGTCTCTAGGTGCTGATCTACCATTTGATCTGGATATGGACTGTATCTGGGTGGCTACGGTGACCTTGGAATAAGAATGAAATGGACTAATATTAGTGTAGATACCATTCTTCTCACAATGTAACAAGTACATTGGGTGTAATGGGAAGTGTTCCCCGATTCCGGTTGACCTAATTAATGCAGCCTAACAATCCTTTAACGGATTTTAATTATAGAAATGTGATAGTGTACTATGTGTATGCCAGGTTAAAGAGATGGGTCTTTAATCTAGATTTTAACTGACAGAGTGTGTCTGCCTCCTGAACAACGCTAGGTACATTGTTCCAGAGTTTGGGCACTAAATAGGAAAAGGATCTGCTGCCCGCAGTTGTTTTTGATATTCTAGGTATTATCAAATGGCCAGAGTTTTGAGATCGCAGCGGATGTGAAGGTCTATAATGCGATATGAGCTCGCTCAAGTACTGAGGAGCTAAACCGTTCAGGTCTTTATAAGTAATTAGCAAGATTTTACAATGTATACAATTTTCAGTAGGGAGCCAGTGCAGAGTTGACAGAACCGGGGTAATATGGTCATACTTCCTGGTTTTAGTAAGAACTCTAGCTGCTGCATTTTGGACCAGCTGGAGTTTGTTTATTAAGCCCGCAGAACAACCACCCAAAAGAGCATTACAGTTATCTAACCTTGAGGTCATGAATGCATGAATTAACGTTTCTTCATTTAACATTGAGAGCATAGGTCATAATTTAGGTATATTTTTAAGATGGAAAAATGTGGTTTTATAGATGCTAAAAACATGGCTTTTAAAAGAAAGATTACTATAGCACACCTAGGTTCCTAACTGATGACCAAGAATTGACAGAGCAGCCATCAAGTGTTAGACAGTGTTCTAGATTATTACATGTGGAGGTTTTTGGTCCAATAATTAACAAGATAATAATAATTTTCAGAATTTAGCAGAAGGAAATTAGTAGTCAACCAGTTTTTCATATCAACTATGAATTCCTTTAGTTTTGCGAATTGGTATGTTTTGTTGGGTATCATCAGCATAACAGTGAAAGCTAACACCATGTTTCCTAATGATATCTCCCAAGGGTAACATGTAAAGCGTGAAAAGCAGCAGTCCTAGTACTGAGCCTTGTGCTACTCCATACTGTACTTGTGATCGATATGATACCTCTTCATTCACTGCTACGAAATTGATGATGGTCCGATAAGTAAGATTTGAACCATGCCAATGCAATTCCACTAATGCCAACATAATAACCATACTATGATATGGTCTAAATCCTGGCTGGAAATCCTCACAGATACCATTTTGCTCTAAGGAACATAGTTGTGAGGTTAATGCCTTTTCTAGTATCTTTGACAGAAATGAGAGATTTGAGATCGGTCTGTAATTAACGAATTCTCTAGGATCAAGTTGTGTTTTTAATGAGAGGCTTAAAAACAGCCAGCTTGAAGGATTTTGGGACATATCCTAATGACATAACGGATTAATAATATTCAGAAAATGATCTATGACTTCTGGAAGCACCTCTTTTGGTAGCTTAGATGGAATAGGGTCTAACATACATGTTGTTGATTTTGATGATTTGACAAGTTTATACAATCCTTCCTCTCCTATAGCAGAGAATGAGAGGAATTGTTCCTCAGGGGATCTATAATATATGGAGGTTTTTGGTCCAATAATTAACAAGATAATAATAATTTTCAGAATTTAGCAGAAGGAAATTAGTAGTCAACCAGTTTTTCATATCAACTATGAATTCCTTTAGTTTTGCGAATTGGTATGTTTTGTTGGGTATCATCAGCATAACAGTGAAAGCTAACACCATGTTTCCTAATGATATCTCCCAAGGGTAACATGTAAAGCGTGAAAAGCAGCAGTCCTAGTACTGAGCCTTGTGCTACTCCATACTGTACTTGTGATCGATATGATACCTCTTCATTCACTGCTACGAAATTGATGATGGTCCGATAAGTAAGATTTGAACCATGCCAATGCAATTCCACTAATGCCAACATAATAACCATACTATGATATGGTCTAAATCCTGGCTGGAAATCCTCACAGATACCATTTTGCTCTAAGGAACATAGTTGTGAGGTTAATGCCTTTTCTAGTATCTTTGACAGAAATGAGAGATTTGAGATCGGTCTGTAATTAACGAATTCTCTAGGATCAAGTTGTGTTTTTAATGAGAGGCTTAAAAACAGCCAGCTTGAAGGATTTTGGGACATATCCTAATGACATAACGGATTAATAATATTCAGAAAATGATCTATGACTTCTGGAAGCACCTCTTTTGGTAGCTTAGATGGAATAGGGTCTAACATACATGTTGTTGATTTTGATGATTTGACAAGTTTATACAATCCTTCCTCTCCTATAGCAGAGAATGAGAGGAATTGTTCCTCAGGGGATCTATAATATACTGTCTGATGCGATACTGTAGCTGATGGCTGCATGGTTAGAATTTTATCTCTAATAGTATTGATTTTGGAAGTAAAGAAGTTCATTAAGTCATTTCTTCTGTGCTGTTGGGAAATGTCTGCGCCTGTTGATGCTTTACTTTTCGTTAATTTAGCCACTGTATTAAATAAATGCCTGGGGTTGTGTCTGTTTCTTCTAAAACAGACAAATAGTAAGCTGATCTAGCAGTTTTTAGAGCTTTTCTGTAAGTAGAAGTACTTTCCAACCATGCAACATGAAATACCTCTAGTTTTGTTTAGTTTTTTCCACCTACGCTCCATTTTCCGGGGTGCTCTCATTAGGGCGCAAGTGTGCTCATGCTGTGACCATGTTGTAACTCAAACAGCATACTGTATAAGACTTCTTTTAAAAACATCCCCAAACGTTTGAATGGTGTATTTCTTTAAAAAGTGTCATTAATATTTTTAAATTAATTTAATTACTTTAAAATTGTGTCTTAGGTCTCTCAAATGGAATAAAATCATAACTGCCAAATCTCAAAATCACAACCTAAAAAAAAAACATGTGAAAGATAAGTTATATGTAATTTCTAAATGCTAATTCCAATTAATTATTATTTAAAATTACACCATGCACTGTGGAGGCTTTTGCCCAGTTAAATTTTTGCATCTTACCCAAAGGTTCTAATTTGATTGTTCCACAAAAAGAACAAAAAATACTGTGACCATGATGTGCATCTTACTTTCTTACTCTACAATTCACACAGTCATGTACTGTCTGTTTTATCAGAGATGGCTTGTTATGGTGGTTTCCTGCAGTGTCTGCTGTACATGTGTTCTGTGCTGATATCAGTGTGACTTTTAAAAAAGAGGTGTGGATAGGATATTATGTACGTCTGTTCTGTAGAGTCTTCCTGTTTTGTGTCTGTCATTCAGGCTGGTGGTTTTTAACTTTTCCCCATTTGAAAAGACAGAAAGATGTTTGAGTTACAACATGGTCACAGCATGAGCAACAAAGCTTGCCTTTATACTTAGAAACTGACACTCATTTCCTGTGTAGCACTTCTTACATATTCATCACAGTTTTACTATGTGTGTATTCACATGCTCAAGCGAGCATCAACTCTTGACGGGACTAAATGTGTGTGCTATGTTTGTATGTGTCTGGTGGCTCCGCCTGTCACTGAGCTGTTATTGATTGTATCACTGGGGCTGCTCTAACCCTTTCCTGTGTGTGTGTTTAACAGATCTTCCTGTGCACACAGCCACAGTACGTGCAGAGGCAGCTGTATCACAGGGCTCATCCTCTTTACAGAGCAGCTCTCTCGTACAGCACACGCACGCACAGACGCACACAGAGTCTGCCGGACACCTCTTGGAGGACAACAGGAGAGAAGAAGAGCAGGAGAGTGACTTTATAACAGAGGAGGGAGACAAGCTCTCAGACATCATGTCCGCCAGACAGATGTCCATCAAAGAGAGGTGAGTGTATGAAATCATGAAATATCCAGAATGACATCTTTGAAGTGTTTGTGTAGTTTGTGATGTGATGATATGAAAGGAAGTCAGCAGAATGTCAAATGTTTGTGTTTTCCTTTGCATATGAAAATTTTATAACTATAGATGTATATTGAAAACTGATATTTTTCTATCTCTGTTTTAAGCAGGACGTTGTAAATTGTGTAAAACAAGGGATGCCTTAGACTTTTCTGTGTGTGTGTGTTCTACTTTGACTATTTGAGGAAAGTAGGTTGCACTCTGTGTCTTTTGAATATATGTCAATTGAATAAGTCGCATTGTTCTTTCAATTTAGATTGAGAACTGGGAGAAACATTACATTAGAAATGGAAACATCAGATGCTCCAAGTCCTTATACAACATTTGTGACTATAAACTGGGTCATTGTTGATAGTAATGATGTTGCAGTAATGTCTCCATGCCATCTGACTGCATCCTTATGTTGTGGTCTGGCAGCAGGCACACAGATGAAGGAGGTCAGATATTAGAAGAAAAAAAAAACTAAATGAATGTTGCATATTCCAGTTCAGTGTAACTCTATATTGTGTATAACTCTGTTTATCTTTATTTGCATTGATTGGTTTATATTTAGTTTTGTCAGAGCTGTACTGCTGTGTCTGGTTTGAGATCAAAGTATTCTGTAACTGATGGGCATCTGTCTGCTGCAATAGGAAGCAAGCTGGTCAAATTGATTAATGACATAATGAAAACCACTCATCTGCATAAATATGTAACCACACTTGAAAAAAGTTAAATGTGTGTGAATGAGCATGAAAAATGCCTATTTGTTATTGTTGCTTTTTAACTTTTCCAGAGATAAATTTGCGATATAAATTTCATTTTTTTCATGCATGTTTAGTTACACAATCCCAGTCAAAAGTTTCAACAAACCAATTGTTTTTTAATAAACCATTTTTGAATGCACATAAACAGACATTTGGAAATTATGTAGGGACCAAAAAAATCTAAACTTAATCTGACATTTTAGCTGCTTTGAAGTAGGTGTAATTTGTCTAGAATATAGTACTGCACAACTTGGCAGAGAAATCCTTCTGGGTTGTTTTTCAGCAGTGTTGAAGGAGTTCCCATGCATGCTTGGCTCTTTTAGCTGCTTTTATTTCACTATCTGGTCCTTCTCACCCATTAAATGTTTTTGTGAAGAAATTTAAAAGTCTACACTATTATGAATTAGTAAATGCATCTACAAAATTAATTTCAAGCATTTAAAATTGTATATAAGATTTTTAGATCATTAAATCATTCATTTAAAGGGGTCCTATTATGCTTTTTCAACTTTAGTTAGTCTGTAATGTTGCTGTTTGAGCATAAAAAAGAGCTGCAAAGTTACAAAGCTCATGATGACACATGATTCTGTCCCACACAGGCTGGCTCTGTTGAAGAAGAGTGGAGAGGAAGACTGGAGGAACAGGATAAATAAAAAACAGGATGTGGTGAAGGTTGCTGTGTCTGAAAGACATGCCCAGCTATGGGAAGTGGAGCAGAGCTTCAAGAAGAAGGTAACCTCTGAACCTTGAACTGTTCCACCTGACTGTACAGGTCATAGGTCATGGTGCGTTGTCTAATTTCATATACAGTGTGTGTTCATCAGCTGTTGTGTTAGATTGATGAATATATATATTTTGTAACATCTTGTATTATCAGCTCAGGTTGATGCAGAGCAAATGTCATGCAACTTGTTCATTTTTGTGGTTTAGTAGTTCAGTTTGCATTTGTTGCATAGTTCAGCATTTCATCTTAGAATTGGCCTTTGTGCAGTTGAGTAACTCTAAACAGAGAAGGGTTTGTGCTATCCATTTTTTTCTCATCTTGTATCATTTCACTTTATTTTGTCTTCTCTGTTTGCATGTTTTTGTGGTGTGCATGGGTCACCTTTCAATTGTTTTTAAAATTGTATTTTATTTTGCTGATTTTTTTTTATTGTTTAAAGTAAATAAAATGCTTGCTCTGAGCAAACCTGTCTGCCATAGAGCCCGGCTCTACATTATTCTTATCAATAAACCGTTTCACTCAGATGTAGTACTCTTAGATCAGAATATGTTTTCACAGTAGTTAACTCAAGAACTCTAATCTGCACACGGGCTCTATGGCAGACAGGTTTGCGCAGAGCAAGCATTTTATTTACTTTAAACAGTGTAGTGTGATTGTTGGTCATGAATGGAAATGATCAAATTAGGCTGATAATTTATTGTGACTGACATAAAAAAAAACAAAGTAAAATTACGGCACAAATGTTAATCCTGGAGCAATAACAGGTGCTGTCTATGCTGTTGTGTTTTTACTAGGGTTAGTAGAGGTCATATGGTCATCATGAATGTGTACATTTTTGTAGCGAAGGGTTCTGGATTATTTGTATGTTTGATACAGTATGTTTTCTTAACCTGCATAATCTTTCTGCTAGTCCACGAATTTACTGCATGTGTTTTTTTTAATTATAATAATATAATTTATTACAATAAAACATGTTTCAAAAATGTGCATGCTTGATACTAATTCTCTAGAGCAGTGGGGGATGTGGTAAGGTTTCACATGCCTTTCTCTTTTTGGAATTATTTTGAAGACTGTTTCAGTCACTTCACTGCAGGGTTTTAATATCTTTGGTTGCATAAATGCTGTAATGTGATTTATTTATAACATCAGCATTGGAAATTTGCTATCATTAGAGCTCAAACTCAGCTGACGATCTGGTAGATCAGATTTAGCTATCACAATTTCTTTAAAAGATTAAAAGATCTCCTTTTCATCAGCATGAAAGTTGGCGTGAAATGAAAATTCATTCTTTTTTTTTTTGACCTTGTAATTTTTCATTAAAATATAACTCGATCTTCCAGCGATCTTGTGGTGATGTATGCAGATCTTCTTCAAGCATTTAGTCTACTTAACCCTTCCCTTTCTTACAATAAGCTGCAAGCTCGCATTCAGATCTGCCTCTATTCCATCAACAACTGACAAGTCCCGGCTCTACATTTTTCTTATCAATAAACCGTTTCACTCAGATGTAGTACTCTTAGATCAGAATACGTTTTCACAGTAGTTAACTATTACAATTAGTTAACTTCTAATATGAGTAGCATTTTAATAATATTGAGAATCGCAATCCTAGTTACTTTATTAATAGAATTAATACAGGTAGCATCTTCGGACTGCAAAATAAACATATTTATTCTTCACAGTAACCAGATTCAAGGTTAAGTTTAGTATCTGAGCTTTTAGTAGGGGATCATTTTTCCCGTTCATTTCACCCCTTTTTCTAGGATGATGGGCTGATGATAGATGACTTTGCCGTGTCTGATCAACTTTGGGTAAGGCTGTTAGCCATTAGCCACTGTGCTAACAGGCTTAGCACGGGTATTGCCACTGTACATGGGTTTTGTTTTTGTGTTTAATCCTTGTAATCATGGTGACGTCAGTGTGCTGTCATGGTGTTTCGGAACTTGTTGTCAACTCCGGATTACCCAGATGCTTGTGGTGGTGATTTTATTTGCTTGTTCCTCTCACATTGCTACCATGGTGACGGTATGAGTTCTGCAATGTCAAAAAAAAATTTCTATTATATTTTATCAGCCATTGTGGTGGTTTTTTTTTTTTTCATTTACCCAATGGTGATTTCACTGTTATGGTGTGATATTATTTGTCTTGTTCAACCACTCTTATAGATAGGCTAAAGGCTTTGTTAGCTTTAGTCCTAAATTTAACAGACTTTTAGTTTTTTTAGTCTATTGATCTGCCTCCTCAGGGACAGTGTCAATTAATGACAATGATGAGCCTGTGAATATGTGATTTATTTACAGTACTGTATCTGCCCACTAATTTCATTTGAGGCGAGTACTTTCCATTGGGGTTTCTCTTGAAGCTGCTTGATTGACAGCAGATAGTTTGATTTCAGCATCATCAGATTCAGGGTGGTTGTACAAGGCTGGTAATTGTGTGTGTTGTACTCTAGATTTGACCATAGCATTCTAGCAAATTACTATGATGTTTTGTCTAGAGGTCATGTGGTTATTTAGAGGTGACCTTTTGTCTAAGACTAGACCAGTATAACCTGCCTGCTGTCTGTCCCTGGACTTCCTCTTCATTCCCTTCTGCCTTGTCATGTGTCTCTCCATCTTTTGTCTTGCTTCCCCTCTCTGTCCTGTCTGTAGGATCCTGTCTTTTCCTCCTCCTTTTCGTGTGCCTCTGAACCACTGGATCAAATAGCAGTCCTCCCCAAGGTGAGCAAGAACACCCAATGTAAACTTTCCTCCTCATTCCGCCCTCCGATACTGACTGCCGGCCTCTCCTCTTGACCACTAATATTTTTCTCTTTTTTTTCTCCATTTTTAATTTCTACGCCATACTAAACCCTGTTAAATTTATGGTTAAAAAAAAACACGTCAGACCAGAAGTGCACAATACAAAATACAGGGACATTGTTTCAAGGATGGTATTTCATTGTCTGTATATTTTACCTGTAACGTAAAATAATGTACATAAATGGAAACAAAACAAAAAGAAGAAATATGATTATTACATAAATAACAACTGGCTTCTGGGAACATCCTTTTACTTTTTTTTTCTTACAAGTAAACAATTGTAACTGCTTCACTGAATATTTTATATTATGTATAGTGTATATATATATATATATATATATATATATATATATATACACACACAGTGTATATATAATATATATATTTCCATATTTGGTATGGTAACTTACATTTAACAAAATAGTTTTTTTTATCACTCATTTTAAAATTCTCTTTTATTAATTTTTAAGACTTTTAGTATTTCTTGAAGTCTAAGAAATTACATTCATGTATTTCTTGTATTAATTTGATGAGCACTCTCGACTGCTTTGTTCTTGTCTTCTTGACAATTTCTTGTCTTCTACCATAAAGTAACTCCTAGAAAACTCTTGATCTTTAAATAACTTTGTATGTAACTTTTTATACATTTTATATACTTCACTTAAAGCTTAAAACCTTTAGGCCTGTATATTAAAATCTTTCTACCATCTTCATTATCTTAACCAACTGATAGGATACATACAAGCCTATATAATTCTAAGACAACAATGTTTGACTATAAAACTAAACAAGGAGTAAAAGGTCAGCGGTGCGGTGAAGAATCACCTTCCTATGTCTATTAATAGGAGCCTCTTTAGTCTAGGATGCATCCCCTCACCTTTTATCCTTTCTTTCCATTCTTTTCTCATCCCTCTTTCTTCCCATCTGTCTTCCTGCTCTTCCCTCTGTGTGAAGGCTACCCCCCTGCCCGTGCAGGTGGATGAGCGTCACCCCTGGAGACGGAAGGTGCCTCTCACCCCCAAACACACATCCACTATTCCTCCATAACACAACAATAAGACTTGCTGTAAAGTATGTAAACGTATGTATGTAAAGTGTTTTTGTGGTGTTGTCTTTTTTTGGAGTCAATAACTAGCTAGTTTGACAACATATAAATATTCAGTGTATTTGAGATGCTTTTGATTTGGTTTGCTTCCAGGTTAAAGTTAGGAAAATGGAGGCTAAGTGTGTATACTTAAAGTTATTTTTATATTTCACAATTTTATTTGAGTTTTTTTCATGGCTAAATCTTTTATGAGAGGTGTTGTTTCTCTCACTACTTTTACAATCATAATGATTATCAACAAAGCATCACTTTTAGATTAAAATGATTAAAAAGATATTTAAATTAAAGTGTGAGAATGTGTTTCACACTGACAGTGATGTAAATGCTTAATTGTTTTCTCCTTTGTCATCTCAGAGGATGGGAATTGAGGTGGTGGAGAGTCAGCAGATTGAGCGAAACGAGATGTCTATTCAGGAACGCAAACAGCTCATCACCGCACAAGAGGATGCCTGGAAGGTCAAAGGTTACAGAGCATTCAATGACTCCACTCAGTTTACAGTGGCTGGCCGTATGGTTAAAAAAGGTCAGTAAAAATGCACATATTGCTTCACAGCAGTGACACAGATTGAGACGTTTTAATGTATTTTTGTACTAAGTGGACAAAACATATAGTTTTGATACATAGTTAGAATACAGTTTTGCTTTTTTTTTAACAGTGTGAAATTGTCTCCTCTGTTTTTTTTCTCTCCAGGTCTGGCAGCCCCCTCTTTTCTCACAAATCCAGTGTTGTCCCCTCTGTCCTCTAAAAATAAGAATACCTCCCATACCATCTCAAAGCCACACGAGGTTAGTGTAATTAACCTGTAGTCTGAGTTAACCTCAGAGATGTTACATTTTCTCCTATAACAACTTAATATTTTATTCAGGTTATTCTTAATGTATGTTTTGTATGTAATGTACATTTCTTAGTTTCAGGACTTCAAGAGGCCACAATTGCAGTCACAGAGAAGTCTGTTAAAGAGGTCATGACTGTAGATGATGAGATTTTCGATAAGTTTTATCGACACTCAGAGGATATGGCCAAGATCACTAGCAGGGTGGAAATCAACGACGATTTTGATGCCATTTTTGGAGGGCAGCTGTCCAGGTAAAGCAAGAAGAAATATTGTCTAGCGATTTGTGCTACGAGTGACTAGAGTTGTCTCTGTACAACCAGCCATATTTTGTGTGATAGAATATTAATTGTTTATTTACAGAATGACAACTAAACAAGGCTGAAAGCCCCGTTTTTTTTTTTTTTAGGTTGACCTCAGACATGGTGCAGCACAAGCGTGCAGTGCGGCCCACCAGAAACGTTCAGTCATCCAAAAACCCCCTGAAAATGCTGGCCGTTCGGGAGGATATCAGACATGAGTACACAGAACAGAGACTGAATATCGGCCTTTTGGAGAGCAAGAGGATGAAACAGGAAAAGAGTGAGTTATTGAGAAAGGGTGTAGAATTGGACTAGTCAGCTCATGAACCCGTTTTCTTTAAGTATGCACATTTTTTTTATACGGTTGGAACCGTATTTCAGTCAGCCAGTTTGTGTGACAAACAGCAATTTTTAACTAAACATCTTTTTCTGCAAAAAAATCTGCACAAGGATTCAGGTGACTCATTAAATCATTTTTGAATCTCTTGCCTTAAACAAACCACCCAAACCACTCCAAATGTAAGAGTGAGGACAGTGTAGCGCAGGGCTGCCCAAACTCGGTCCTGGAGGGCCGGTGTCCTGCAGAATTAAGCTCCAACTTGCCTCAACACACCTGACTGGAAGTTTCTATGCCTAGTAAGAGCTTGATTAGCTGGTTCAGGTGTGTTTAATTAGGGTTGGAGCTAAACTCTGCAGGACACCGGCTCTCCAGGACCGAGTTTGGACAGCCCTGGTGTAGCGGAATACAATGAAACAATTGTTTTGAGTTACTGTCTTTCTCTTAAAAGTTAAGAGTTCATACTCTTGCTGTCTCTCTCGTTGTTCTTTTCCTCTCTTTCATAGTGAATAAGAACAGCGGTTTCTCTGAGGTTGCTCTTGCTGGATTGGCCAGTAAGGAAAACTTCAGCAGTGTGAGTCTGCGAAGTGTGATTGCATCTGAGCAGGGTTCCAACAACAGTGCCATGCCCTATAAAAAGCTCATGCTCATTCAGGTCAAAGGTGAGTGACAATGACAACAGCTGTGATGCACAATATTTCAGCTCAATGAAAGGGGGGAGGGCTCCTTTTACAGATGGCTCTGCTGGTCAACAATATTCATCATCCATTCTGACCTTGTTTGGGCACAGCTTTATTCTCAACTATGTTTCATATGAAGATTAATGGTCTCTGATTAGCACCTAGCCATATAGAGTATGCTGTATCTGTGTGTTTCTGTAGAGACATTATTTACTTGGCAGTGAGACAGCCATGAAAGATGCTGTTTACTTAAAAGTAGGAGGGAGAACCCGTCTTGCATGAGACCTGCTGCTTTTGTTATGGGGACAGCTTGTTGTAGGATGTAGAAGGGCTGTGGATATCAATTCCTCATAAGGCATCCCTCTCAATCTAAACCTACGTGCATGTTCCCAAAACAGCATTCTACCCTTAATAAAAACAGAGAGAAAGAAACCAGATAGGCTTAATGAAGAGGACAACACATCAGCAGTCCAACAACAACAACATATTATGGCCAGCTGTAGTAATGTTCTCTTGTGCCAGACGTTTGTGCTGATTTGAACTGTTTTCGGTGCACATTTTATGAAAGTAGTACAATATAACATTTCGTTGTAATGTATTATATCATAACATAGGTGTCTTTTTAGTTTAAAATTCAACCAAGATAAAGCTGTACAGTCAAAGCAAATCACTTGGTGTTTTTGCTCCTGACATCAGGGGGTTCAGCATGTGACTCACATTGATATTGTCCCAATTTCTCTGTGCATTTTAATCAGGTCGACGACATGTACAGACCAGACTGGTTGAGCCCAGAGCTTCTTCCTTGAACAGTGGTGACTGTTTCCTTTTGATCGCACCCCATCATTGCTTCATCTGGATTGGAGAATTTGCAAATGTTATCGAGAAGGCCAAAGTGAGTGTGTCCTGCTACGTGTACCAATAAACACACATCACACTATCACTTTAGCTCTGTTTAATATCCAGCTGTTAGCAGTGTTGTTATTGTTAATTAAAACTAATAAAATTTAAACTTAATTAAAATGTAAACTAAAGTTAAAATGAAAATTGAAAATAAAATAAAATAAAAGTTCATTCAGAATTTTAATAAAGACTGTAATACTACAAAAAATTATACTAAAATAACACTGGCTGTTCAGTGCAGGATGTCAGTATTAGTCACTTATATAAAAAGTATGTACTTTTGGTTCTTAGGATTTTGTTACAGTTAAATCTGTCATATCCTGTACTCAGCCGTGGTGTTTTCAGTACTATTCATATGTTGGTGAGTCCCCCACGTGCAGGAAGTAAACAGAATTAACCACAAAGGAAATGTCATATTGTTGTACAGGAAGCAGGAGGTGAATTGTAAAAGCTTCTGTCTCTCTCTTACACACAACTTTCTATTATTGTTTAATCCAGACTGCAGGTCATTGAACTCTGAGTTTGACTTTTTTTTATTTTTTTTTATTGAATAATTAAGTGATCATATGTGTATTTCTGTACATGGGATCAGAGTGAGGGGAACATAGTGTTGTGTTGTGTTGTTATGTTAATCTGTATTTGTGGTGCAAATAAAAAGAGTAAAACGAGTTTGTATCTTCAATCATGCAGGCTGCAGAGTTAGCTACATTCATTCAGACCAAGCATGACCTGGGATGCAGAGCCTCGTATGTGCAGACCATCGAGGAAGGTGCCAACACTCACACTCATGCCGCCAAAGAGTTTTGGAAGATCCTTGGTGGCCAAGCCAGTTATCAAGGTAAGCTAATCTGTAATTCCTTCTGTTGAAGGAAGAGTGTTTAAACATCTGTATTTTTGTACTCAAGCATAAGGCATGCTGATGTTAGAGCAGTTTAATGACCTTGACGTACCACAGTCCCTGTAAATATTGCCCTCTATACCCTACAGCTGCTGGCACTCCAGAAGAAGATGAGTTCTATGAGAGTGCCGTTGTAGAAACCAACTGCATCTACAGGCTCATGGAGGATAAACTTGTTCCTGAAGATGACTTCTGGGGTCGAGTCCCTTGCTGCTCCATGCTTAAGCCTAAAGAAGTACTTGAAAATACTACATATTTAATATTAGGGATGGTTTCATTAAATTTTTACCATTCATTCATTCTAACTAACTAGTAATATATTTTATTCATTTTATAAGCTACAGTCTACAAGTTTGCATGTGTGAAGTAGGAAAAAAAAAAGTTTTAGTGAGTCATAGTCATTTTTCGTACAATATTTAAAAAAAAAAAAAAAAACCTGACTTTATTCTCGTTTAAATATCAGCCTACTCAGGCCAATACTTAACAATTAAATTTAAATAAATTCAGTTCAGTTCAATTCATTTAAATTATTATGAATATATTGTGCATCTCTGCTAAACACTCTATATTAAATAAAATAAACTAAAGTAAGGCAAGGCAAATACAAGTTTAAGCCAACTTTTTATTCTTGTTGGACATCTAGGTGCTGGTGCTTGATTTTGGTAGCGAGATCTACGTATGGCATGGTAAGGAGGTGACGCTGGCACAGAGAAAAGTGGCTTTTCAGCTGGCAAAGCACTTGTGGAATGGCACCTTTGACTACACCAACTGTGATATTAATCCTCTGGACCCTGGAGAGTGCAACGACCTTATACCCAGGTACAAATCAGAGCTGAGTATGTTTGGCTCTGCTGTTCCATCATAGATCAAGTTTTGGCACTTGTGACCTTTTAAAGCTCATTCACAGAGGCCTTTCAGGTCAGAAGTGTTCTACTGTTGCTTAACTCACTACACCTGTCAAAACAGTAGCATAGTATCTCAGTGTTCATAAACAGACTCGGGTTGCCAGCAGAATTTCTGAGAGCTGATGCGTCTCTCCTAAAATAAATGACTTCTGTGTTCACATCTCATGGTTTTGTTTTGTTCTGTTCTTATGAAGTTATATCATTATATACAGACATTATATACAGATTTGTATAAAATGTGTATGAAATTAAAACAATTATTGTCTTTTCTGAATCTGTTATTCATAGGAAAGGCCAGGGACGACCAGACTGGGCTGTGTTTGGCAGGTTAACGCAGCACAATGAGACTATTCTTTTTAAAGAAAAGTTTTTGGATTGGAGTGACACCAAGAAATCCACTAAGAATGGTGACTCGCATATTGTTGAAAACAAGGTAGACTCTCACAAAATAAGTTACTAAATTAGAATTAGATACTTCAGAATAAATCTAAAATGTTGCAAAACGTGAAATAAAATTGGATGGTTAATTTATTTAGGAGCATCGGGGTGGGGAATGTCGGCCGTACAATGCATCACTGATGTTGATGACAGTATGGACGCCAGTCAAGACCGTTCTGGATGGGCTCGATGTTGGACGAGGTTATGGATTGGTGGAAGGTGACGAGGGGCGTAATTTTGAGATCAGCACCTTGTCTGTTGATGTCTGGCACATTCTAGAGTTTGACTACAGGTAGGATGGATCATTTATTTAAGACTATTAAATTAATGGGATTTCATATACAAACACTCTCTTTCTTGCTTTTTCTAGTCATCTACCCAAACAGAGCATTGGTCAGTTCCATGAAGGGGACACATACGTGGTCAAATGGAAGTACATGATCAGCACAGCAGGTGAGTTGTATTTTGGAGGTGTGCATAGTATGCATGTTGTTTTTGTCAACTAAAATATGTAAAGGATAATGCACAGCTAGCCATGGTCATTCGCCAGCACTGACAAGTTTAAGCTGTTAGGGATGTTTGATGTTGGTGTGTGTTGGAACTACCTGTGGATTAAATGGTTTTAATGCATACCTGCCAGCCAATCAGAATCGAGTATTCAAGGCAAGGCAAGTTTATTTATATAGCACATTTCATACACAATGGTAATTCAAAGTGCTTTACATAAAAGGAATTAAAATAATCATAAAAAAAAAAAAAAAATAGAATAGAAAAAGATTATACATAAAATAGTGCAATCAGTTCGGACGTAGCACAGTGCTCATTCTCTAAATGCACATCTAAACATATGAGTTTTGAGTCTGGATTTAAATGTGGCTAATGTTTTAGCACATCTGATCTCTTCTGGAAGCTGATTCCAACTGCGGGCGGCATAATAACTAAAAGCAGACTCCCCTTGTTTTGGGTGAGAGGGAGTCAATGGGGCTGTAGTCATTTGGAGATAAGGCTAGGTAAATCTGGGTATCATCTGCATAGCTGTGATAGGCGATTTGGTTCTTTCTCATTATTTGACTTAGTGGGAGCATATACAGGCTAAACAAGAGCGGTGCAAGAATTGAGCCTTGTGGGACTCCGCATGTCATGGACGTGCACTTAGACTTATGCTCTCCTATACTCACATAATAATCTCTCCCTTCTAAGTATGACCTGAACCAGTTGAGTACCATCCCAGAAAACCCGACCCAGTTTTCCAGACTCTAGAAGTATGTTATGATTAACAGTGTCAAACGCAGCACTGAGATCTAGTAGTACCAGCACTGATATTTTGCCAGAATCAGAATTTAAGCGAATATCATTTATTATCTTTATGAGTGCTGTCTCTGTGCTGTGATGCGGTCGGAAACCAGATTGAAAATTGTCCAGGTATCCATTTGAGTTTAAGTAGTAGTTAAGCTGATTAAAAACAACCTTTTCAATAATCTTGCCTATAAAAGGTAAATTTGATATTGGTCTGTAGTTACTCAATATGGTGTATCAAGATTGCTCTTTTTCAGACAGACCATTGTATAAAATTTAATTTAAATTAAACCTTCTCTTCTGCTCTCATATGTTAACTTTGTGAAACCACAAGACCATGATCCAAAACTCTCTGCTTTTTTGAACAGTTGGCAAGAGACTGCATTCAGAACGGATCATCGGTCCAGGGAAGGAGAAATGCTGTTATTTCTTCTGGCAGGGTCGTAACTCCACTGTGAGTGAGAAGGGAACCTCAGCACTGATGACTGTAGAGCTGGATGAGGAGAGGGGTGCTCAGGTACCCACTATGGTTCTATGGATCATCTTTTTAAAACTCATTTTTAGGATGTTCTTAAGCCTTTTCTGCACTGCTGTTTAAAAGTTTGGGGTCTGTAAGAATTTTTTTTCTCTCTCTAATGCTCACCAAAGCTGCATTTATTTGATCAAAAATAGAGTGAAACGGTAATATTGTAAAATATTTTTTAATTTAAAATAACTTTTCTATTTAAATATATTTTAAGTTGTAATTTATTTCTGTGATGGCAAAGCTGAATTTTCAGCAGCCATTACTTCAGTCTCCAGTGTCACATGATCCTTCAAGAATTATTCTGATATGCTGGCTTAATGCTGAAGGAACATTTCTTATCAATGTTGAAAAAAGTTGTGATGCTTAATATTTTTAATATGTTTTTCAATATTTTGTAATGAATAGAAAGTTCAAAACAACAGCATTCATTTGAAATAGAAATCTTTTGCAAAAACAAGTCGGTTCAACATGATGCTTGTTATGCAGGTCCAGGTACAGCAGGGAAAGGAGCCTCCTTGTTTCTTACAGTGCTTCAATGGAGGAATGATTGTTCATGCTGGAAAGAGAGAAGAGGAGGAAGAAAATGTGCAAAGTAATCTTTTTTGCTAACTTTACCACACAGTTTGTATTTTACATATTTTTTCCTTAACCTTTTTAGGTTAGTTAAATAGTTAAATCAAATTATATACATCATGAAAATCATATTTTTAACAGACTACTTCATATGGACTTGACTCGATTTCCTTTATTGTGCAGATGACTGGAGTTTATACTGTGTGAGAGGAGAGAAACCCATAGAGGGCCATCTGCTAGAGGTGGTGTGCCACTGCAGCAGCTTACGGTCTCGCACCTCTATGATCCTCCTGAGCATCCCAAAAGCCAGCATGTACCTGTGGCACGGCTGCAAAGCACAGATGCACACACGTGATGTGGGTCGTACCGCTGCCAACAAAATCAAAGAGCAGTAAGTCAACTCACACACAAACAAACCAACAGCACTTCATTGCAAAAAGATTGTAGACCCCTGACGACTCTCCGGTATACAGGTGTCCTCTTGAGGCGGGGCTTCACAGCAGCAGTAAGGTGTCCATTCAAGAGTGTGATGAGGGAGCTGAACCACAGGGCTTCTGGGAGGCCTTGGGAAGGAGAGATCGAAAGGCGTATGACTGCATGCTACAGGGTGAGCAGAGAAGCGTCCGTCTGTGTGTTTGGATGCTGACGTGAAGGTGATTTACAGGTTTCCTGCGGGTCCTTAAAAAGTCTTAAATTCTGTTTGATCAATTTAAGGTCATAAAAAGTCTTAAATATATTAATAGTACAACAAATGTTTTAAGAAATTGTTCACCCAAAAATGAAAATTCTGTCATTTACTTACTCTCAAGTTAGAACTATGGGGTGAACTGCACTTGAGTGAACTATTCCTTTAATTATCATTAGCAAAATCCAGCATTGATCAACCTCTAGTTCGTATGTACTGATATATTAGTACATAAACCAAGTTTAATACATATGTACTGTATATATTAAATAAAACATACCTTGGGTATTTTAAACTTGCAGTTACACTGTTTTGCGGTTGAATGTATGGCTGTTTACATTAAAGATATGTGATTTATTTTGAGATTGTTTAGATTTGCTCTGAATGGACACGTGGCATCATTTTTATTTGTACATGTCTTAGAAAGATACTGTGGATTTATGTGTTTTTTTTGTGTGTTTCTCAGATCCGGGAAAGTTCAACTTCACTCCCCGGCTGTTCCAGTTAAGCAGCACTTCAGGAGAGTTTGTGGCAATGGAGTTTGTGTATTCATCCAGGGAACCAAATTTGGTCAATTCGATGCCTTTCCTACAGGAGGATTTGTATACAGCTACTCAGCCAGGTGCTTGACATATTCATGTTCATTAAACAGCGTTAAGAGTGCTCTCTGATGTAACTTGTACTGTTAGGTATTCTGGGTGGGTGTCAGTTTCAATTTAATTAGGCTTTTCTACAGTCATTGCATGCATAATGTATTAAGGAAATTTGATTCTTCACACTCATTGAAAAATCATGAGGTTTGTCTGTGGCAGTATCATGATGTCACTACTTGTGTTTGATTGTCTTTTAGCCCTGTTTTTGGTGGATAATCACCATGAAGTGTACCTGTGGCAGGGCTGGTGGCCTCAGGATAGTGAGAGCACGGGCTCAGCTCGTATACGATGGGACTCTGACAGGAAGTGTGCCATGGAAACTGTGCTCCAGTATAGCAAAGGTGACACGCCAGTCTTTAATGATGTTGTTGGGAAAGAAACAAGAATGATATTGTGTAATAAAGCATGATATGTTGACTTTATAGCAGATGCCCATTTAAACTATCTAGAGGTGGGGGAAATGACAACAATAAGATTTTGATTGAAAATGACTAATATTGTTGTAAAAATGTTGGTTGCTGATAAATTTTCAACCACAGCACAGAATCATCACAATACAGTAAAGAAATCGGAGATATTTGATTTGAAATTACTTCATATTAAAACCCTTTTGCCCGGTTTCACGGACAAGTCTTAAGCCTAGTGCAAAACTACAATGCATGTTTGAGCTGTCTTAACTGAAAACAACTTGCTCTGACAAATCTTAAAATGTCACTTCCATTGATTTGTATCAAGGTGCACGCAGTAATGTTTTTTCTAAGGCACATTTAAAAAAATAAATGTCCTAATTGAACTAAGGCCTAATCCTTGCTTAATCTAAACCCTGTCTGTGAAACCAGGCCTATATTTCTCAACATCATTGTTTAAATGAGTGCTAATTAATTTTGGAAAATGTTAAACTCGCACCATACTCTGTGACAACTGGTTGTTTTTCACTTAGCGTATGTTTTGTTGATGCTTTTTAAGAATTGTACAGTTTGACATAGAACAAAACCAACCATTGTCTAAATCCCTTAATATATATTTGTAAAATTAATTAATTTATTTATTTTTGGACTTTTTTCACCTGCGACACCTGATCATATTTTCATAATACTTTTTGAGAGTTGCTTACTCTCCCTTGGAACAAAACCAACCAATATCGAAATCTCTTGAAGGGTCATGAAACACCAAACTACTTTTTGTGTAGAGGTATTTGTGTTGCACATCATAGAAGACAATGTTTGCATCCATTAATTTTAATTGTTGGAGAAAACTGGTCAATTTAGAGTTTTTTTGCGCTATTTTTGTCTTCCGGTGTTTAAAATCTACATCGTGTTGATGTCACAGTTTGTGACGTGGCAAAGGGCTATAGTACTTTGATGACGTGTCGGTTTCTCATAATTATTCATGAGACTGCATGCTCTTATCCAATGAAAAGATGCTTCACTAAATTATTCAAAACAGCATGGGTTCAGTCTGTGAGATTGCATACATTAACTGAGAGAAACGTTCATGGATCGAAAGAGTGTTTTTGCTTTGTAAGAGTTTGGCACAAACACTATTCATTCACTTAGTGAGTGTAACCAGTTTTTACAGCTCCTTGATGCAACCAATCAAAAGGCTTATATAAACACTGCAAAATAAGCCTTAAAAGTTATTAGAGGTGCAACAGTGTGTTCATATATATGTTTTCGATGCAGAGTGCAAATGCAAATGGCTGTACATTTATTTGTGTATTTAACTCAATGGGGGCAAGATGAAACCATCTGAAACCGAAGTTGTCTGTTTTGTCTGTCTCCCCTCTTCCCCATCCACTGTGGTGAGAACTAACCGGTACTGAAACAGGGGGTTTAATGACCCTATTATAGAACAATACCGGGCAATATTTAAATCCTAAATTAAATCTGTTCACCATATTAAACGATCATATCTCTTCACAAGACTTCACAAAACTGCTCGATTCATATGGATTCATGTTATGATGGATATCATGTCACAATAAAAATATCTTAATTTGTGGTTCAAAGATTAACCAAAGTGATACAGGTTGACAAGTATGACTCTGAAAAGCAGCTTTGAAATTATGTGTATTGTAAAAAGAGTTATACTTGACTTAGATAAAGTAAATAAATTTGACTTGACTTAATATCATTTTGAAATGAAATTCTCATGGGCGTGTATATATGCATGTTCTTATAACACACAAATCTGTGCTCATGGGGATGCAAGTTCAAATCTGGGCTGTATTGTATAATTTTTATTTTTTATTATTTTATTGTAATAAAATGACTATTAAATAAAACAATTAAAAATTCATACAATAACATGGCTTTGCTTTTGTTTTTAGAAAAAAATGAGAAAAAAACTCCAAAATCATACCTGATCCATGCAGGACTTGAGCCTCTTACATTCACTAATATGTTTCCCGGCTGGGAACACAGAGAGGATATTGCTGAGATCACAGAGAAGGTGAGAGAGAAAGTTTAATGCACATACCAAGTTTGTTTTGTTGTTAGAATGGTTTAAAGATGTTGTTGTTTTCTGTGATTATAGGAGGCTGAAGTATGTAATCAGATCATTCTTGTTGAAGACGTATTGACTAGACTCTGCAAGACCGCTTACCCACTCGCTGATCTTCAAGCCCGTCCACTACCAGAAGGTGTTGACCCTCTACGTCTTGAGATCTACCTTTCAGATGAGGACTTTGAGGTAAGAAAAATCACATTAACATTGAGGTTTCAAAAGATTACTCGGATAATTGTTACAGTAGTGTTTAAGTTTCATTAGTTGTGCAAAAAAGCCTAACTTTATAATTATGGACGATTTAAAGTATTGCATGATTTTGAGACGTTGGACAGGAATATTACTGAAGTATATCTGTTCTGTAACATCTGTCTGCCTGAATGTGCTCATATGTTCCGTCTTTTAAGTACTATCTACTTTTATTTAGCCTTTTTTCCCCTTCATCTCTTTCATGTTTCTACTTCTGCTCCCACTATGTCATCTTAAAGCGGCCTCTCTTAACCTGTCTCTCCCTGCATCTTTCTGCTTTTCCCTTTTTTGCTGGTGTAGTCTTGCGTCTGATGAGGTTAATTTTTCCCTTCACATGCCAGGGTGTAGGGACTTCTGGGAAGGTGAGTTTTGTTTCATGAGGAACACTGGTGTTTTCCCACTAATGCCGCATCCTCACTGTGTGAACTGCATCACCATGTGCTTGTGTCTCACATGCCTTGGCACAAACCGCCTTGTATCTAGCAGCGTGTGGGTCACTGTTCACCACTATCTCACTGATACTCTAGGTCTCACATGTAGGGTTGAATTTTTCTTGGATATACACTATTATTCAAAAGTTTGGGGTCATTAAAATAGTTTTTTTTTTTTTTTTTTTAAGAATATTATTTTATTTCAAAAACATAAGAAATCGTACTAACCCCAAACTGTTGAATGGTAGTCTTCTTTAATTGAGGCATGTGCTAATAGTAAAATTCCAATAATCCAGTAATTATTTTCACGTTATGGTCAATAACCAATAAGTGGCTGATAAAAATGTTATGCCATTTTTATCTAAAAACAAAACAAAAAACTCAATCTTTTTAAATGCTTCATGTGAATTTTGGCATCACAACATGTACAGTATAAAAAAAAATTTATATTCATTTTGACTAGATTCAACAGTATTTTTAAAATATTGTTTTTATTGACTTTGAGTGATAGATGATGGAAAAGGTAATTTAAATGTAAAAATGGGAGAAATTAAATATTCAACATTGACTGAGGCCTATAAATTAAAAACAAAAACAAAAAAATCTAATATCAGCTAAAAGCAGATATGGTACAGATAAACTGTGCATCCCTAATTTAAATACTTTGTACTTTAATATTATTTACATTTTTGGATTGATGAATGGCAATGACCAATATCCTACAGCTCTTGTGTTTGTGTGTGTGATCATTCATCCAATTGTGTTCAGCACCTCAGAGTCCTGAGTATGATGAACACTTCTATGTCATCTGCATGCACTTTTAAATCCTTATACTTAAAATTATATATATGTGTGCATGTTCTCCACAGAAAGCATTGGAAATGACAAGAAGTGAGTATGAGGCACTGCCAGGATGGAAGCAAGTGAATGTGAAGAAAGCCAAAGGACTGTTTTAAAGGGACTAGTGAACGCAAGTGAAGATCTACCTGTGTCAACCCACACAGGGAGGTGAAAAGGAGCTGGAGGAAGAAGAAAAGACACAGATGGGCAGGGGTTCAGCAGCCTCCTGTAGCACATTTTTCTCCCATTTTCTCCTTTTTTGTTTTTATCAGTGAATTAGCAAGATTTGTTTTTTTTTTAATTTGTTGTTGAATGTTTTGAGTGCTCCCCGGCATCTTTTCCTCCCATTGTTCTGCATTGCTGTGTCCACATGAAGCCAGTCACCGTCCAACATGCACAAGGCAGCCCTCATGCACTGCCCAGCTTTATATAAAGACCTAATAAATAAAAATGCCTTTTAGTTATTATCTAATTGTAAGAAAGCTCAAAAGAGCTCTTTATGTAAGTATGTTCATACCTGCTCTCATAAATGGCCTCAAGATGTGTTTAAACCTTCCAGATAGATGCTTGAACCTTAGAACCCTATATATGTGTCTGTGTGTGCATGGGAGAGTGTTTGAGAATCCATACAGTGTGTGTGTGTGTCTCTTCAAACAAGATTGAATGAAACTGTGGAATAAGAGAAAATCTCTTTCTATTCTGCATTGTATAGTGCCTTGCCTTCATGTACAGTTTATATAAAGACAGATGCTAGTCTGCATTTTGAAGACATATTTGTGATATAAATAAATAATGGTGCAAATAAACACTGAATAATGTAGATAATGACAATTTTGTCTGGTGCTTTGTTCTCAAATCAGTTTTGATCATACATTTTGAAATCAAACTCATAAAATCACGATTAAACTTTATTTTTGGAGGTTTTAGCATTATGCATATATGATTTTGATTTTGGCGTGTTGTTTGACATGATGCGTCTCAACTGGCATACTATTCGTCCTAAATAGTATTCGAAATTAGACTTGGTGTGTCCCAAACCGTGGAATGTTGAAATGAGTGTCTTAAAGGTTCCTGGTTTTTACCATGGTTTATTTTCAGTGCAGATCCATGCACCATAAATATATGAAACAAATTATACTTGGGGCTTTAGCGGGCAAACGTGAAGTTTTTCGGAGGAATGCGAAAGCTTTGCCACTGAATGATAAAGATTCTGTGAGCGAACACAAAGTTTCTCAAGGGACGTGAAATTTTTGAGAGCCAATGCAAATTTGTGTTAGCAAATGTAAAGTTTCTGGGGGGGGGGCGCAAATGTTTAAATAAACTTTTAATCCCATCTCATTTTTTCCATCATAATGTCCTTGTAGGGGCTCCGTGGTTTTCCACAGTCAAGTCAATATGTACTACAAATATATTATTTTGATAATCTTGTTTTCCAGTTTTGTATTAATGTTCTCAATGTACCAATTATATAGTCATATAGTAAGTAGGCTTGTAAGAACCCATTTCAAAGATTTAAAAATCCATAAAAACATTAGACCAGCAGAAATCCATAAAAACATTAGACCAGCAGAGGGCGCTGTTGTTCCACAAGTGAAAGTGATTAGTATCGCATCATCCCAGAATGTCCAATCATAAGGAAAACAGTAGAATATCTGAATATACATTTTTATTATCTCATTGTCTATTTCTTTTTGCTTCAACTTGCCATATTTCTCTGTAGAACCATGATTCACAAAAATAAATAAATTGCCTTTTTAATTTCACCTGAATCTCCACAGCTTGTCTTCCCTCTAACACAGTTCCTATATTAGGAATACTAATGATAAATGACAAAAACTGAAAGTAGTTACAAAAACAAATGAGCACTGCCATAAGTACACAAAAGCACAATTAGGACACCCGGAGTGGAGGCTTTGAACTTGTCAGGTCAAGTGGGATTTATAAGTCACATGATCCAATCAAAGTCAGGGCTAAAAATGTTGTATGGCCAAGAAGCCGCTTCCTGTCTGTCCGACTGAGGATTGAGGACATGCCTACATCTAATAAAACAACTCAGATGCAAATGTACAACCATTGTACACTAGTCATATAGTGTACAATAGCCATTGTTGCAATTCGTATTAACACATTTGAACGTAACATTAACATGCATTTTGCATGCTGACAAGGTGTAAGTGACTTCAAATAGTAGCTTGGAGGGGCCTGAAAAAAATTAGCATGTGAATATTCTGTTATATGCATTCAATTACAGGTCATTCAGGTGCTCTATTCTCTGTTACAACTGACATAGCACCATATTTTTGAGACTGGCAAGTGAGCCTGGTTAATCCAGGATCTCATTAACAGTACCCATGATCAGGGCAGACAAATCTGCTTTACCTGGAATGCTATAACCCTCCAGGCAAGGGATTTGATTGGCTGAATGGTAAAAGGTCACTGCATCTGATTGGCTGGAATTTCTGTACTGAATTTCCTATTGGTCGGAAAAGACAGGGTGTGTGGTTGATAGGTAATAAATGACCTTGAGGAACCTATCGAGCAAGGAGCTGTGGGAATGTGGTGTGCTTTAATTTTCTCTGCCATGAATCTGCTCATTTTGCATTGACCTGCGGTCTCTGTCAAGATTAAATATCTGAGAAACTGGAAATCACTTGAGAGCTGAACACAACAGGAAACATGAGAACAATTGAATTAAACTGTTAGACTAAAGGCCCACTGAGCTACAGAAATGCACACATCTTTATACAACTGAGAGCCCACTCAAATGCTTAAGCAAAATGAGAATGAGAGCGGCTGAAGGGTGACTGCACAGAACACTCTTCCTGTTTTCTGCTGTGATAGTAGGTCAAGTGAATTGTTCCGCACTGGGTCAGTACACAAGGAAAGAACCAAAGCGGATTTAAGTTATCTCGTTAGTATCATTGCCTCGGATAAACCGTTTAAACAAAGTGAAGGGCCCTATATGCAAACAAAGTTCACATCATGCGGATGTTCTCAGCATTTTTGTGGATAAAGGACATGTTAATTTTAGAAAAAAGCAAGAAAAGGGATGGTTTTCCCAAATAACTAGTGTCATTCAAAAACTTTAGTGCTTTTTAAATGATTTGTGCTCCTATGTTTAGTGTTAACTTTTATTTTATTTGTGAATGTTGCCAATAACATATTTTATGTTATTGAAAATTTATTAAAATAAATTGGCATTTATTTGGTGTTAACTTTTGTTTATTTAATTATATTTTACACCTTTGAAAAATTATTAAAATGGCAAATTAATCTGGTGTTAACTTTAATTTACTTAATCTTTTATTTTACACTTTTGAAAATGTATTAAAAGAACAAATTAATTTTGTGTTAACTTATTTATTTATAATTTTATTTTATTCATTGTTTTCTTTTATTTTACACTTAAGAAAATGTATTAAAACTACAAATTAATTTTGTGTTAACTTTTATTTATTTATTCTTTTATTTTACACTTTGGAAAGTTTATTAAAATGACAAAATGTATTTAATGTTAACTTGACAAGTATATTTTAACATTAAATTGTTTTTTTCTTTTTTATTATTTTGCTTTTTTTTACTCTTTGAAAATGTATAAAAATGACAAATTCATTTAGTGTTTACTTTATATTTTAACGTGTATTTTAAATTAATTATTTTCTTTTATTTTCACGCTTTTGAAAATTTTCACGGACCCGCCAGCAGCTCAATGCTCCTCCCGTTTGACAGCATTGCTGACGGGCCATGTTGTTATTGCTGAATGTGCGAGATATATCCAGCTGCAGACCCGCAGCACCAGCAGTTTCAGAACCGCAGCCACAGAACCGGAAGTGAGGGGCGGAGTTATTGACAACGAGAGAGCACGGTGAGTATTCTGTTATGTTTTTGCTATAGTATGTTTGATAAT